AACAACGCTGATAACACCGATGTTTTTAGTTGTTGCTAAGTAATGTTTACTCTGACCAAGGACTTTCTCAGTCTCATGCTCTGCCAGGGAAGAAGGGAAGCCGGGAGGAAGCAGAGACAGGACACCTGACCTAAACTGGCCAAAGGGCTATTCCATACCACAGCACGTCATGCCCAGTATATAAACTGGGGGGAGTCACCCGGAAGGCCCAGATCGCTGCTCGGGTCGGGCTGGGTATCGGTCAGCGGGTGGTGAGCGGTTGTGTCCTCTCCCCTTGTTGTTCCTCTTATCATTATTATTGGTAGCAGTAGTGGTTTGTATTATACCTTAGTTACTAGAGAGCTGTTATCTCAACTCGTGGGAGTTACATTCCTTCGATTCTCCTCCCCATCCCTCCGGGAGCGGGGGGAGGAAGGAAAAGGGGGGGAGTGAGCGAGCGGCTGCGTGGTTCCAAGTTGCCGGCTGGGCTTAAACCACGACATATGTAAAAGTAGGTTGAGGTGGACCACTGGCTGACATGGGAGAAACTGTCAGCATAAATGTTCAGTGAAGACCTCAGGATTTTGATGACTTGCTGCAAGTCTCGCCCCCTCTTCTTGCAGGAGATTGATGTATCTTGGGACAAGAGGAGAGTGTAAAGCTGAACATTAATATCACAGTAAAAAATTCACAGTAGGAAGGTGTTTTTCTATAATATTTTTAGAAGTATTATTAATAAAGCTTTGGGTGTTAATTTGGGCTGTGCTAGTATTAGACAAATTGAACTATTAGGACGTTAAAACACTAACTACACAAACAATAAATTCTTCTCTCCATACATATATAATGAAGTGCTTTTACAACTATGGTTTTTTTCAAAGTACTCTGGCTGTAATTCACTGATAATCAAACAGATCATTTTAAACTACAGCACCTGGATGATGGAAGCTCTAGCAAAGTAGCTCCAAGCAAAACCACCTCATTCTTATAGTATCTCCTATCCCACAAGTGAGGAGGGAACTCATTATGGCCTGTAAAGAGGCTAATTGGGCCATTGGGGAAGGCAGGAAATTTAGGTCTCCCTTGCAGGAATACGTGAAAAAAACTAATAATCTCAAGTGCTCTACAGAGGGTTGGTTTTTAACCAATTCTCTTACCTCCCATATCCCTACCTAAGAAGTAAGAGGTCCCCCCAGATTCAACAAAACATATTCAAATGGAAAACCACTGCTCATAATCCACCAAACACTGTTTAGGGTAAATACACTAAGCACTACCTTTAGAGAGGTAGTTAAGATATTGCTATTTCCTGTAGGCTGTGAATGAGTCACATTAATTTTCTGTGCATCTTCAGAACAGGATCACGACATCCGTAACAATTCCCAAAACATCCTTTTTGTTAGGTGATGTATCAAAGGTACCTCCAGGTAACTCCTCTGGGAACTCTGGGGCCTCCTTCCCAACTTCTGGAGCCCAGCCCAGTGCACCTAGAGACCTGGGAGTCTCTCTGTCCTAGGCTTATGAACAGAGCTGCTGCTTTCTTGTTTGCAGGCTCAACCAGTAGCTAAGATGAATACGTATACTAGACACATATGGTATACATGTGTCCTCCGCACACGCAAAGGACACTAACACAGCCAGCTACATAAACTGCCCACAGAGAGTGCACTGCCTTTAACACCACCCACATCTAAAACTCACATAAAACATACACACAAACAGCCAAACCCCAGTCCTCCTCTCTGACTGAACAGGATGGAGGTTTGCTAGTGAAAACACACAGCCCCTTACTCTCTTGTTCCGAAGCACAGACACATTCCTGGATGCCTTGAACAGTAGCGTGGGTCATGTAATATTAATGCCCAGACCCTGGGCCTCCTCTCACCATGTAGTCCGGCTTTTCTACTAATGAATTACACATGCACAAACATGCATGTGCACTCATACACAAGGTGAGAGGGAAATATAAGCACTCCAGTCTTCCTGGACTAGCTCATGCCCAGGCACATGGGCCTTATCACACTTAGTTCCTGCTGCACTTGCCAATTCTGGGACTCTCACATTCTCCAGCTGGCACAAAGCACAGGAATCACTATAACCGAAGGTCCAATGCCAGTCATTAGCACAAAATTCACTCACTAAAGACACACAACCCTATGAGCTGTGGTCTCCCTGCAGCTGCTAATGCCAAGATCCTCATTTACTCCAGCTGCCGGCACCACAGACATTAGGAGCATTATTGCCAGTGGTCTAACTCCAGTTAGAGACCCCTAACTCAGTCACTTTCATGTCTCCAGTTTCTGGCATCTAGACCTTACAGCACTCACAGAGAGGAAGAGGGTGAGATTATGTGCAAAGAGAGTTAAGAAAGGATTTATTAAGACTGCACAGACTATTCAGTTCAGAGCTCAGTCAGACAAGTATGCTGACCAGCTACTGCTCACACCCTACCAGATTATTTTACTCCTCCTTGCTCTCTACACTCACCCTGTCCTCATTTCGCCCAGATCCCCTTCCTTTAAAAATTCCTTAGTAAGTATAAGGGTGCAAATTCTGGTAGTAATTGGAGTATTCAATCATAAGAATAACAGCATGCCTACTGTTAGTGGTTTGTTATTAAGTTATGCTAAAAATGTTCTTTCAAGAAAGAGTGAAGAATTTTGAGAGCTCAGTGAATGAACAATTAATAAAAAATAAAAATATGCAACTGACATGAACATATTCATTCCTAGTCCAATAGATCCATTCTCTCATTGTGAACACAACTTGGAAAAAGCAACCTTTACTTGTTTTTAATAAATACTTGTAAATAATTATAAATAAAAAATATTATCATTTTATTTACAGGTCATCAATTTATAGTCAAGAATACTTTATACTTTCCCTCAGATCACATTAACTGCCAGTGTCTTATCTCATTTTTGAAAAAAGGTATGTCAAAGTTTATCATCTCTGAAACACCATTTGCACAGTCTTGGTATTAATGTTTGCATCTTCTGTGCACAAGTTCAATATCAAAACAGAGGAAAGTTTTGAATTTGCTGCCATCTTCACACACTTTGAATAGCATTTGAGATACAAGATTCATAATTACACAATTCATCTTGTCTGAGAATACAATACAGCCAAGATGGTATAACAACAGAAAAATATCTCTTTTCATAGAAAAATGGGTTTCACAGGGGTTGGATTTTTTTAGGCAACTATTCTTGAAAATGCCTTACTGCCAGCTAACACTTTTACACAGGATCACAGGAAGAAATATAGACTTAAACCGACCATATTTGGTCAGAAAATAATTGTAAGATTATACTGTCTGCTAGTCAATCAGTCCTGTTGCGAAGTATGCAGATGTACTACATAATTTCCTGTTAAAGCAGGACCTGAGGTAATTTCTATCAAAGCAGGAAAAAAAGAGGTAAATTGCTGAAAGTCTGCCTTCTCCTCTTGTGATACTTACCTTATGCTTAGAAACAAGAAAAGATTCTCAATTTTCTTTTAGCTAACTGGAAAATAAAAAAGAGAGCTAATTCACACTCATAGTCTCCTTATCTCCATTGCCATACTTACCAGCTACCTGGAGAGTAGATTGCAATGACTGCTGCTATCCACTGGAGTTGAGTGTATTGAACTGTTTTAATGTCATTATGTGTTTGGGCTTATAGTTTTCAGAAGGGGTTCCTGCTGTCTTTTACACTCCTCTCCCTCATTAGGTCAAAATTGCAAGGATACAGAAGATTTTTGTGGGGGAAATTTCAAAAGCAATGTGCCCGCACAATTTGGCTGAAAGGGACAAGAGTAAAAGTGTTTTAAAAAGATACAGCCCATATGTAGGGGAAAAGCTAGTTCTAGAAAACTTTACTAATGGACTTGCCTTGTTTGGGAAAAAAAAGATTATTTTCCTTTTTTCAGTTTTCTCTGAATGATGATGACCATGAAGGAAAGTGAGGAAAAGGAAATTACTATAAAACAAATTTACTAGGAATTTAGAATTAACCGTATCTATCCCATGTTTAAATTATAGCTCTACACAGATTTAACTAAAATGTCAACAAGATTGTTCAGTCTTTCACTATGAAAATGAAGATGGGTTCTTATTGGTTCACGGATCCCTCTCACTCCCTTGTGCTTTTTTTCCCTTCTTTCTTTTGATTTTTAACTCTGCATCTCAGTGTAGTATTTTGTTTATATTCTGTGGTTGTCAGGGATTACTGATGCTTCCAAGACATTTTGAAGAGTTTTACTGCCCTTGAATATTCAAGTGCTAGATTTATACTTCGCTCATTCTTAAAGAATGTTCTTATGTGTATTGCTACTTCTCTTATACCAATATAGTGAATCTCTGCTATGAAGCACAAGAATGGAATTTTAAGTTTTACTTAAGTAATTTTAAGTTTGATTAAGTTATCCTGACCTCCAAGCAAAAGTGCTTACAATAGGATGGCTTTAGATACATTTTCTGATCCAAGCTTTTCTCATGACATCTTACTTGTCCAATATATCATAAGTAAACCGATTAGCTTCTGAAAGTTGGAGGTTTTTTTAATCAAGACACAGCACTAAATCATGAGGCTCCTGACTCTTTAAATTATTTCCATCTTATTTTTCTGGCACATGTGTAAAGAGGATGCTGAAATTATGAATAAAGGTGTCATGATCATTCTAAATCATCCAGCAAGAGTTTCTGATCCTATTCTTGCTAACTCTGTACTTGCGAACCAGTAAGTTAGTGATTATGAGTCTTCCTGTGTCATACTGCCGAAAGGAGAAAGTATTCACAGATAGGATTCAATTATGAAAAGCCTCCATCATTCATATGGTTTTATTTTAGTACAAAAGTATTTTACAATAGTCACATGGAAGTTTGATTTATTTTACAAAACCTATATTAAAAAAAAAAAAAGGAAGTGCAAACTGCACAATAATAATCTAAAATAACTCTTTCAATAAAGCAAAAGTCACACTATTATTACAACACAGGACACCACTATTGTAAGATAGGAAACAGAGACTTTTCTTACCTGTAAAGCCCTTGTCACATTCACAAATAAATGTGTTTGGAGTAACATTGCTGCAGTTACCATTGAAACATGCAGGTGGCTGGCACTGTCCAATTATTTCTGTACAATTTTTACCTATTTGAAAGGAATTATTGAATTTTATTTTTTTTTCTGAAACATCAAATTTATATGTAAAGTAAAAGGTTATTTTAATAGGTGGATGGATAGAGAGGTATTTCTGCTAATGTTGGTTGCTAGTTTTCACCAAAATCACTGAAGTTCTAAAGCAAGGCAGAAAAATACACAGCTGCTGCAATATGAGCTACTGTGTTCAACCTCATCTGCCATATAGTTACAAATCAACATATAGCTTAGAATGAAGAAATGCTATTAGCACTGTAGTATGCTTCTTTTTCATATGAATCTAGCTTAGTTTCTTCCAGCACTGTGAACAAAAGATGTTTTCATGTGGACGCCAGTTTGACTAAATTCTTCCTAATATGCAGCTTTCTGGAAACTACAATTTCAATTATACATTGTTTATGCTATTACAACATATGGATCTAAGTACCATATAATTATGCTTGCCACTTGGATCGTTGCTATGACATTACTCACACTTCACCTTTTCAAATTTCTAATAGACTTCATATTATGGGAGGCACATTTTTCCTCCCTTACTCTTGTGTAGCCACATTCGTAATATAATGTGGCTTAATCTCCTATTTCTTCTTGTTCACATACAGCTTATTTACTGTACCAGTATTGCCAGTACAAAATTACGGCATTAGCCAACACTGTCTCATACAAGCTAACAGCGTATTTTAAGCATTGCCTGTTGGTAACATTAAGCATGATGACTGCTTTTAACAGAATTGTAAATCTCTCCATTAATTTGCATTAAAGTAGTACCAAATACTTTTTGGTATTATCCATTTCAAAGCACTTTACACAGCTCTCAGAAAATAGGAAACGTACTGCATACTAATATTTTCCACTATTTTACTAAACTTTGAATAATTATAAAAATATTCTTCTCACAATATTGACTTATTCATACCTGCATAATCTCCTTTTTGCAAATGCATTAGTAACCTAATTATTATGCAGTTTGAAAAGCAATTAAAAATAAATTACAGCAAACTTTATGCAATACACCCTTACTCATTCCTGACTCATCAGCCGTGTTTCATAGCATAGCATCACTACTGTGAAAGCACAGAAGTGCAGTCCATCAAAGGAACATTGCGAGAATTCTGCTCCACAAGCACAGAAAGAGCCACAGCAATTCTTTTTGTGGTATGAATGGATATTACTGATACTTTCTAATAGATTCCCAAATAATATACGCATAATTTTCTTCATTACCCATTAAGAACATAGCTAATCATACTATATACTCTGGCAGTCCAATCCCAAACTCAGTTTCTACAATGGATTTTGGGTAAATACTGCAATATTTCCTGGATAGAATCAGGTGAACTTTTTTAACTTGGTGGTAACAATATGTTTAGCAAACTACGTTTGAAATAACTTTGCAGTGAAAAACAATCTAGAAGATAAAAAGTATTTTGGTTTGCTTGTTCTCCTAATTAAAGCTTTGACTTTGAAATTAAAAACAAATTCTGTTTTCTAAAACTCCTCTAATATAATTTAAAAGTTCTTTAAACTGAAAAGGGAAGTTTTGTGGCAGGTTGAATAAAATGCTCATTTCAACAAAAGCGTTTGCTGTTTTTCAGCAGTCTGAGTAACTATTTTTTGGAGAGCTTACTCCAAATACTTTATGTTCTTTGGTGCAGGAACTTAACTGCTGAACAAACCAACAAAAAACATTTCTTACTTCTATAAGTTGAGAAGTAGTTACCTTCTGTGGTATGGACAAGAAGCATAATAAAAACTTTTTCTCCACAATGCAGACATGACTGTAAGCAACTACAAACTGTCTTCAAATAACTGCAGAGTCTCATCAGTGCAGGCGTAGTGGCAATGGACAACCAAATTATACAAAAATCCTTGCTAATGATGTTCTCAATGTTTTATTATAAATTAAGGAAAATGTCTTATCTATGTAACATTTATTCCCAAAGGGAAAAAGAAATACCTGAAAATTTTGGAGGACATGTGCATTCATAAGAATCTCCAGAAAGTTCTGTTTTCTCAGTGCAGGATGCATTGTTGTGGCAAGGTTTAGTGGAGCATACATCAAACTTCTGGCAGAATCTTCCAGAATACTGTGAGAAACAATGGCAATTATATGCTTTTTCCCAAACGTGGCTTAGACATTTTCCATGCCCAGAGCATAATGGTGCACTTGGAGACTGTTGACAAAACTGCTGTTTCACAGTTACATTCAGACGAAGGCCCATGTTGCACAGTAGTGGGCCTCTCTTATGAAGTTCTGCAAAGTAATGAGTTCCAACACCAAGCCAGTTAGGGTCAACTTGGTGCATTCCTTTTATCTGACAAACAAAAATCAACTGTTCTTGAAGAAAACCAGCACTAGGGCAGCTGACAAATTCTTCCTTGGAGACATTTACCAAATTCATTCCAAAAGACTGAAAGGATGGCTCGGAGGAGATGAAGAGACTATCACCTAACTGAAGCTGTAATGGGCATATCTGAGGGATACTGAGGTTTTGTTCTTCTGAGATTTCCCCAGTAATACTTTTACTCATATTCCAGCATTCGGTGTAAAAGTCTGAGCAGATGTTTTCCCTTGGTGTCCATTTTATTACGCTAGGTTTTGATTCCACTCTCCATTCCGCAGTCATTTGCCTCTCACATACTACCTGCCCATTTACAACACATAGCTGAAGAAAGCACACTAACATGTGAACTGTTGATTTCATTGTTTCACTTGGCAAATGGGAGATGTCTTTCACACCTGCTTCATCAATGAATATAGCTTCAGAACACTTGTACCTTAAGGTTCATCTGTATTTCCCATGGCAGCCTAGGAATTCAGAGAAAAATACTTACTTTTTCACACCAAATACAATTGAATATTGAAGCATTATTACAAAACCAGAAAATACACAACAAAGCAACGTCTATATCTAATTATACTGACGTGAAACTGGAGTAAGTCCAATTAAATGATCAGAACTACACCACTGAAGTCAGTTTTCCAATTCTATTCCTGCTAAAGATTTGATTTTCATTTAGTACATTTCATTGTACTTGCATATGGAACAGAAAGAGCTTAAAAGAATACTTTCCATATTCCATCCCTCTGTTGACAAAAACTAATGATAAGCAAGTTTAACATCTGTGGCAAAATTAATAATTAAAGCAAAACATCCAAGCTCTAGTCATGAGCTTTTACCATAGTGGTTAAGCTGATGAGCTATCATTAATTTTTGAAAAAGGCAGATATTCTAAAGATGTAGGCCTGTGAATTATGGCTTCAACAAAGAAAACATACAAGCACATCTTCAACTTCTTGATGTTCATGCGCACTCAGCAAAACGATCAATTAAATTCTTCATTTTCCAAGTACTTATCCAAAAACCAAACCTTAATCATATGCTTGAGGTTTTTGATGCATTGCAGTCAAAGCCAGCAGACTACAGAGTCCTCTAGGACTATTCAATTTATAGAAAAGCCATTCATGGCCCTTCAAAATATCTGGAAAATTTTATTGCATGGAGATCAGTAATTACAGAACAGAAAGAAAACCAAAGTGAGATTATTAAGTTTACTCTTCGAGTCATACTGAAAATGATGAAAACACAGTATGTCAAAGTCTTTAGAAACTGTCAATAATAATTTAATTTGCCTTAATGTTTTTTCTCCCTTTTAATTCCATAATGCCTTTTTTATTTTTCAGTATATTTGTTACAATTTAAGATCGCAGCCTCTAATATGACATTTACAAATGAGAAAATTACTGTAAAGAATAAACTGTATCTTTCAAAGGAAGCCACTCAGTATCAATACACAATGGCATTTATATTTTGAAATTGGTTTACAATGTTTTGATTTTTGCACAGCATATGGAATGACATCTGGATGTGTGTATTTCTACACCTACATACACCTGTGCCATCTCTGAAGTGCACACAGATTATGATACCACTTTAATTACATCATTTCATTAGATGTTCTATTCAAAGAAATCTTGGAACATACTACAGCCTATGCTAAAAGATCAAAGAAAGACAGGAAAGATACTGTTTGTGAAAACTTTGAGCTGAAGAACATTAAATGACTCAGCTGTAAAACTTTTAAGATAATATCAAAGGGTAGTCCTCAGTCTCTCCTATTGCCACCAACACTGGGATGAGAAAAATCAGCTATGTCTTACTAGTAAATTGCTGTGCATGTGTCCAAATTGCTGTCCAAATGACCTTTGTGTAGCACAGTGACCAGCACTGTTTAAGCCTCTGAAGATACCAGAAAGGTGTGGACTATGACTAACATTAATAATGGAAGACTTGAGGGTTAGAATATTAAACTCAGAAGGAGTAGAAACTAATTTTAATCCTCCTCCCAGAATAGATTTATTTTAATATAATAACTGAATGCCAGTTCTGCCTTCAAATAGTTGAAGCATGCCAATTTCTGATTACTCTCTCTGTCTCTGTATTTCCACCCCTGGGAGCTAATTCCCCACAGGAAAAAAAAAGAAAGGACATGGATCTGCAAGAAAACTACTAGCCTTCTTATGGAATACTCATAGTCTTTCTATTTTAGACCATTCCATTATCTTCAGAATCTCATGATGTTCAATGATACCATTAGATAATGTGCTGTCAAATGTGTAGTTTGGATCATTTAGCATTTTTCTTTTAAGGTAGCACTGTTGAACTATTATACCTGTTATAGGTCCTATTACATTTGTCACTATTATCAGAGGTAAAAGTCTACGCTCTGTATTACTGTACATTTAGAAATCCTACATTCAGCAAGCTATCTTTATATACCTTTTGCATAATGAGATTTTCTCAGGCATTACTCAACTAGATGTTTATAAAAGGTTATTTTTCTTCTTAAGACACTTCAAGAAGAAAGCTATTGCATGTCTAATGCAGAATTCTTGCCCACTTACGATACATTTTGCCCTTCATTCATGTAACTATGCACAGGTCTGTTATCGTATACAGGCTTTGTTTTTACTGGTAAAGAAAATTGGCTACCTTAGAATGTCTGTATGGGATAAAAATTCTGAACTACTTTAGAATAAGTAATTAGCAGCGTTGTAACAGTTGATACTCTGTCTTCACAATTACTCATTTTCATGCAACTGAAAGAATATTACGGGAGTACTAGTATTAATTATGTCAAATAAATGAATACACCCTGTAAAAAAAGCAGTGGCAAAACCAGGGAAAAATGGGAAAGAAAAATCAAGAGAACAAACATTGGTTTTTAGCAATAAAATCAAGAAGGGGGAAAAAAATTATACAGTGGAGAATGAAAAGTAAAGAGCCATGCATAGAATAGTTGCAGTATTAACATACATGACTTAGAAAATCAGCCAAGATATTAAATACCTGCAAAATGCTGAGGCCATGTCATGAGACAAATTTTGAAGGTGATTATGGTAACTGTTCCATTTTAGGCCTGCTTTACACAAGAAGTAAATCTTCCTATCTATAACCCTAGATGCTTCTATGTAATTGATGAAGATTAAGTCCAAGACAGGGACTTATATGGACATGCAAAGATACTTGAAGAAAATCTAATTTTTAAAGTTGCATAAAGCTCAGTGAAAAGCAGCACAATGCTCTATTTTGAACTAAAGGATAACTGAAGAAAGCAAGGTTTATGCAGAACCCCAGGGAGGTCATTTAAAAGCAAAAACTAATCCCAAGTTATTTGCATTCCAGTCCGTTATTTTCAATATTATGTTTTCTTCCTAATAATAAGTTATTAAATACTACTAAAAAAAATAAAGTACATTTTAAGCAAGATTGGACAAATACCCACAGAAGGTTTAAAAAAAAAAAAAAAAAAGAGTTTAGGAACATTGTGTCACCACAGTGAGGCCAGGAATGAACCTTCTCTTGCCACCACTGCAGATGTCACGCACACACTTTGTGGACTGCCTCTCTGTGTTTGAGTTCAGCTCTGGTAGGATGGGGCTACAAACTTTGGTCAAGCTGTTGTGAAAACTGTCAAACTGAGAGAGAGCTGGGGAGGGCAGGGTTTCCTGGCAGCTTGCTTACTCAGGACCTACATTTAGGCCCAGGCTTGTCCTTGGTTCTCACCTGGGTTATGATGCAAGTGGACAGACACCTGACCTCATATTTATACCCTGCTTACCTAGGCCTTGACCCTTATCCAAATATTTGACTTACTGGCTTGATCTCAGGACCTGTCTCCTCACTGCAGACCCGTCTGGACACCACTGGACCATTGACTGGCTCTGAGTGCTACCCCCAACCTGTACTCCGCTTCTCACATGGTGCTGTGGGGCTATCTTGCAGGACAGACAATGTTTGCTGCTCCCTAGGACTGTGATATCATGCTTGCTTTATTTCTGCTGCATATTTAAAAGCATCAGATTAAGCACTACTTACGTACACACAATACATGAAATGCCATAAATTATAGTGCCTGCATAATTCAACTTCCACCCTCTGTGTGTTTTACAATATCCACTAATTGTCTCAATGACATATCAAGTTGTCCTTTGTACCCTTGCATTTTTCACCACAAAATTAGTAATTCTTAGGAAATGATGCATCATTTATGCCAATCTTCATTCTTTGCAAATGAACCTTTCCTTATTTACTAAAGACCGTTCAAAACATACACTGCTGAATTATTAATTTACTAATTATGACTTTCTGGAATACTGAATATGCTAGACAGTGAATTTACGTGCAACTCAAAATACAGAATCTTAATTTCTACCTTATAGTTATACTAGGTCTATTTTATGAGGGCTTTCTGATGGCTAGTCTTACTATTTACCAATCCATACAACATTACTGCATGCATAACAATATTGAGTCAGGGAATTTTACTTTAATTTATTGCTAGCTGTCACAGTTTAACCCCAGCTGACAATTCAGTCCTACCCAGGTGCTTGCTTGCTACCCCCTCCATGGGATGAGCAAGAGACAAAACAGACACTAGAAAAAGCGTATCTTATCTCAACTGACATGGTTGCCCCTAAATAAATTTTAAAAAAATTACAGTCTTTTCACCTGTCATCTTTATTGTAGCTCTTATGAAGAGAGGCTGAGAAAGCTGGGGCTGTTCAGCCTGGAGAAGAGAAGGCTGCATAGAGACCTCATAGCAGCCTTCCAGTATCTGAAGGGGGCCTGTAAGGGTGCTGGGGAGGGACTCTTCATTAGGGACTGTACTGATAGGACAAGGGGTAATGGCTTCAAACTTAAAGAGGGGAAGTTTAGATTAGATATAAGGAAGGAGTTCTTCACAGTGAGGGTGGTGAGGCACTGGAATGGGTTGCCCAAGGAAGTTGTGAATGCTCCGACCCTGGCAGTGTTCAAGGCCAGGTTGGACAAACCCTTGGGTGACACAGTTTAGTGCGAGGTGTCCCTGCCCGTGGCAGGGGGGTTGGAACTAGATGATCTTAAGGTCCTTTCCAACCTAAACCATCCTATGATTATGATGAAAACTCTGACTATGATTGTGTGACCTGCTGAGGTCAGAGAGGCTGTGAGTACAGGAAACTAAACAGTGATGGGAGATCACAGCTTCCACGAACACTGCGCAAACAGCTCAAGATTATTTTTTTTACATAGGATCAATGACTGTTTATTGAAGCAATAGACTATAAAACACAAATGGCAGAGCA